CAATGAAATTTTCCTCCTCTGCTGCAGTTAGTGTCAGTGAAATTGAGGCACTCTATGAGCTATTTAAAAAGATCAGCAGTGCTGTGATTGATGATGGTCTTATAAACAAGGTTTGTGTCTATTTGGCCAGTCTTTGTGTTTTAATTCTCAAGATATCATTAATCTGTATATATTTTTGAATCCAGATTTCTTATAGTAGAACTCCTACATATAAGTTCAGGCATTAATGCCTGAGTCCTAAAATCTAGATGCTATTGAATTTTGAAATGGGTACTATATTGCAGGAAGAGTTTCAATTAGCGTTATTTAAAACAAACAAAAAGGAAAGCTTATTTGCTGATCGGGTATCTTCTTTACTACCTTAATTTGTTCTTGTTAATTGTTGTCCAGATTTCCTACCAGTTTTAAAAATATGTGTTGTTTCCTCGCACAAATTGCTTAATTGGTGTTATTATTTACTGTGCTCATCCAGTGAGCACATGTTTTTACAAGATTTCAATGGTCAAGCTGTTTCAATGAACAAGATTATTTTACTTAGTGTTGACTATGGATTTATTTATGTGATGAATGATGAATCTTTATTCCTCTCAATACTTTTACAAGTATTAAAGACTGGACTTCTACTTTCATGACCATGAAGTGCAGGTGTTTGATTTGTTCGATACAAAGCATAATGGAATCCTGGGTTTTGAAGAGTTTGCTCGTGCACTATCTGTTTTTCATCCAAATGCCCCTATTGATGATAAGATTGAATGTATGTTAGATGCTTTGTATTGATATGAAGTTTCATATTCAAAGTACCTGCTTGGCTGCATCTAATTATGATGAGTTAATTTTGCAGTTTCTTTTCAATTATATGATCTCAAGCAACAAGGTTACATTGAGAGACAAGAGGTAATTTATTATGGAGCATTTATTTATGTATTCTTTTCCATTTTGAGAGTAGGATATTTCAGAGGTTGTTATGGGTCTATTTAATAGGCTGAATGGAGCCAACTTTTTTTTTTTTTTTTTTTTTTGAGCTCTCTGATACATGCTCTGAGGAAGTCTTATTTTATTATATTAGATAGTTTAGATATTAATAAATTACTAAATAGTTATTTAGAAACTAATAAATAGTTATTTAGAAATTACTAAATAGTTATTTACCTTATTATTCTTAGTCTTTGAATTAATTTAGATAGTTTAATTATTTAGAAGATTCAGCAGATTACTTAGCTTATTTAGTCAGTCTATGAGTTGTATTTTCCCCTATAAAAAGGGAGTATTATTTAGAATAATAACAAGCAGAAATTTAATCCCAAAAAGGGTCTAAGGGAGTTTTGGGTCTCAAGCAAACCCAGTGTCTTCTTCTCTTCTTTTCCTTTTCCAATTATTATTCTTTCTTTCTTTTTCCCTATGTTTTCTTGCCCATGACGGGAGCACATAACATTGGTTCCGTTGCCGGCGTCATGGGCGTCACTCGGTCTGAGTTTGAAGCTCTCAAAGAATCAGTGAAAGAGTTGAAACAATTATTGGCAAACTATATTCGAGCCCATCAACCATCAACCCCACCTGCAGGATCCGAAGTTCAAAATGCAAATTCTGCAGTGGACAACACACATCCTCAATCTCGGTTTACCAAGCCTGATTTTCCCCAATGTATTGCGAAATTCCTCAATGGCCAAACACCAAAAATCAATACGCCAACTTCTGAAAGAAGTCAGCAAACAGATGGAGATGTTACATCACTCAACGTGGATGATTCATCATTCACAATCATTGTTGATCACCCACATGTGGAGACAGCTCCAATGCAAGCCACTGTTTCAGCCGATCAGCCTCATGTGGTTTCAACACAAAAGGCTGCTGAAATTGAGATTGTGCCATTTCCAAAAACTGTCATATGCTTGGGAGGGTTATTTCACCACTCTCCAACCCCATCTCATTTAAGGGTTGTGTCCTATGATATTGGTCAGTCTTCATCTTTGGTGTCTCCCTCATCATCCCATGTTGTTCCAAATAACTCCTTCAAAGGATGTCCAAGTTTGGGTTCTTCATCACCACTGTTCGCTCCTCCATTGATCAGTAGAATGCCACTAAAGGCTTTTCCATTTGCACTTCTTTTGGTGAGGCCATTTGATCGTGGAAAGTGTTGACTACGTGATGCACAAAGTTATCAAGCTTGAGGGCAAGCTTGATGTCCAGGAGGGGTGTAATGATACATGCTCTGAGGAAGTCTTGTTTTATTATATTAGATAGTTTAGATATTAATAAATTACTAAATAGTTATTTAGAAACTAATAAATAGTTATTTAGAAATTAGTAAATAGTTATTTACCTTATTATTCTTAGTCTTTGAATTAATTTAGATAGTTTAATTATTTAGAAGATTCAGCAGATTACTTAGCTTATTTAGTCAGTCTATGAGTTGTATTTTCCCCTATAAAAAGGGAGTATTATTCAGAATAATAACAAGCAGAAATTTAATCCCAAAAAGGGTCTAAGGGAGTTTTGGGTCTCAAGCAAACCCAGTGTCTTCTTCTCTTCTTTTCCTTTTCCAACTATTATTCTTTCTTCCTTTTTCCCCTATGTTTTCTGGCCCATGACGGGAGCACATAACACTCTCACAGGTTATCTTGAACAATCTATGCTTGTTTGGCCTAGCTTATTTTTTAGTTTATGTACCAAAAAATTAAAAATAGAAGGTTGGCCAAACACCAACAGTAACAAACTAACAATAGCTATAACCAATAACAATAACAATAAAAATAAATAAAGTGCTTTTGAGGCTATATTAGAGGGAAAAGATTCTTTTTCAAGAAGTTTCAAACTGATGCTTTCAAGAAACCCTCTTTTTGAAGAAGCAATTATCTGAGCCAAACAAACAATATTGACATAATTCGGAAGCATTATTTTTCTTCAATCAATGAATTGTGTAGTGTCCAATCACATATTTAGTGCTTGTTTGGCTAGGTTGTAACTTCCCAAAAAAAATCTATTTTAATAAAGAGCTTTTTTTAAAAAAGAACTTGTTGCAGAAGTTTTCAATATGATTGATCAAATACATACATGGTATTTAAGTTCTTGGAATATATATGTTGTTTGGATATTTGACTATTAAAACTCTTTTTAGTTTTTATATTAGAGATGGTGAAAATTACAACTAAGGCCATGCATTTATTAATTACGAGTTAAAATTATTCAAATATAGAATATTTGGAATTCAAAAAGTGTCATTAATGCACCATTAAATTGCCCAAACTTGTTAGAAAAGAGCTTATTTTGAGTTTTTTTTTTTTCCTGTTATATATTTCAAAATGGTATTACTATTATCAACAAGTACTGTTTTACCCAACTTTTAGCTTTTTGGAGTAGATAAACTCCAATAACTCCCTAAGCTATGGCCAAATAAGCACATATATGGGATTTGATGACAATATTTTTCTTCTTAAAATGATTTCTGGAACGTTTTAATCATGGTTCTAATGCAGGTGAAGCAAATGGTGGTTGCTACCCTCGCTGAATCTGGTATGAACCTTTCAGATGACGTTATTGAGAGTATCATTGACAAGGTACTTCATCATCCTGGACTCCCAATTTAAATATGACACCTAAATGATAATAAAAAAAATGAAAAAAAAATACAAATGTAACTGCTCTTAAGAGGAGGGGGTGGAACACAAAAGACTAAAGAGGCACTCCAATCCCCTTCACCTATCTTTTGCATTTAACATTTTTCATTTAGACAATACGAATTAATTTCATGTCATTTTTTTATTATATATATTTGGTAACTAGGATTAAAACTGTCTTATCATGTTGATCTAAGAAACGGGTTATAGACAATTATGTATCCCTGTAGATTGAATAGTGTGTTTAACTTCTTCCTCTATTCCCCAGACATTTGAGGAAGCTGATACAAAACACGACGGGAAGATTGATAAGGAGGAATGGAGAGGTTTGGTCTTGCGACACCCATCACTTTTGAAGAATATGACCCTGCAGTACCTCAAGTAGGTGTTAAATACACTGCATGAATTTATTTACTGAGTTCTTTTAACCAAGATCATGCTTTTTTTTTTTTTTTTTCTCTCTCTTTTTTTTTTTTTTTTTTTTAAATATTCGTTCTACTGTTCTAAATTCTAATCATAGAAAATTCATTAATTAGGGACATAACCACCACTTTCCCAAGCTTCGTCTTTCACTCAAGAGTTGAAGATTCGTGATAGAAGAATCGTGCAGTTATATGAGGTTGTTTATGGAACAGGAGTTTCTTCGTTTTCCCTCCCCAGCCATTTTGCTGTATCATTTCAGAGTCACATTAAAAGTGAGTATTTGATTTGTGTTTGGAGTCTGTTTTTCTATTTCAAGTTGAATGATTTGTTATTCTTTTGTTGTGACAAGTGATTATGTATATTTGGGCGAGTTATGTAATTCATATCTTGCCATCTTGAGACACCCACTGGTATACTTTGGAATTTGGATGTAATGATGTATACTGCAGAAATATCAGTGAGGTTCTTATATTATATGGTTTTGTTCAATTTGATTGTATTTCAATTGTATTTAATTTAATTTAATTTTTCTTTTTTACAAAAATGGCCCAAACAGGTTCGGGCAAATTATGGTCCACACAGTGTTATGTGGACCATAACAAAAAGTACATTTTTAATATATTAAATGTACATTTTTTTTGTACTGAATGTACATTATTCAATATAATGTACACTCAGTACAAAAATAATGTACATCCCCTGAATACAATGTACATTATTTTACCGTATACAAAATATGGTCTGACACAACTTGTATGGACCATTATGTTCTAAGATTGTTTTCAATTTTTGTTAATGGTTATTGCAAAACAAGTTGAAATCAATTGTTATATGGAAAAAGGATTTAAGATTTAATTTTTTTAATTTTTTTTTTTAACAATGGAACTGTAAAAATATTGACTATAATAACAAATATACCAAACACATGACTGTAAAAATATTGATTATATATTGCTACAAACTAAATGTATAACTAGAACTGCACACCAACACTGACACCCACAACCACAACCCTTAAACCTATAGAAAATAGTTCTGAAACCTCTAACCATTCAACAAACACAACACTTGTGATACAACACAGGAAAACATTGGAGCTGCCATGGGTGACTGAAGATCCTTACACGGGGGAAGATCGAATCTGAAAAGCGAGCCTTGTGTGGTTTTGCATAAATTAGTAAAGCATAAATGCAGCTAGCTTTCTTCCCGAGTTCCCGGTGGGATTCAAATCTGCGCCTGAGCCGCGTGGAATAAAAAACAAACAAACGATGGTTGTTCTTAATCCACCAGAGTTTCCTTCCATCCCTCGAGAACAAACTCCACATACAAATCCTTGAGGGCTATCACAACGGTAGTTACCAATGGCCCTATTATTGCTCCCTGCATCATAATATATTATGGATAGATGTCATCAACAGCAATGATTTAGCATTTAGGGTTTAGAAAGCAGGAAAATGACTTATAGCCAGGAGCTCATAAGTTACCTCCACAGCCGATGGGAGCAATGCCATTCCACCAATAATGCTGAGACCGGTGAGATATGCACTATAGCCCGGAATATCCAGTTGAATTTCATTCGCACCATATTCCATAAGCACAAGATGAATGATGGACAAGCTAACGGCAAAAATGTAATCTCCGTCCAAAAGAAACTCCAGTGCTGCTGGAATTGTCGAAAGCCAAGAAGGAAATATCGGAAACAGGGGACTGATAAATGCAAGTACAGTCGACACATACAAGAAGTGTATCGAGAACAGCTTAAAGAGTAGCCAAGTCAAACACCCTTGAAAAAAAGCAATCTCGGCAGTAGCCAAAAGAACGCCCGAAATAGCTTTGTCAAGAACCTCAACACAGCGACCCCGGGCAGAATGCGAAATGGGAAGCATACACATTACTTGCTCTGTCACCCCGCCAGACTCCGATGTAATAAGATAATAAAGCACCCATAGGAAAACCATCGACTGAGACACGAAATTGAACACACCCGCAGCACCAGAAATTATGGAATCCGCCACCACGAACATAACCTTTGCACTCCCGCCCAGAACAGATGCACCGCTAAATACTACACGTTGCATCACATCTGCTCCTTGTAAGGCAAGCCCTTTCGCCTTAACTACCATGTCCTCCCGGGAAACTCGCAGTTCCCGGAAAATCCCATCCATTTCTGCATAAATTTTCCCCCATTCTCGATTCCTAACCCACCCCTTAAGGTTCAAGATTTTCTCATAATATGGAGAGGGCGATACCAGACCTGTGGACCGCCCGGAAGAGTTATCCGACTCGACCCTCAAGAAATGCTTAATTCCCGAAACAAATTCGGTCATATTGTACTGCATTGCATAGCTATCTATCTGATCAAACACGGTCTCGTATACCTGAGTAGTATACTTATCAACCATTGCAGGCACATCGTTTTCGTCGATCCATTTCTTAAGACCGATTCTCTCTGCATAATTACTCTCCACTAGGTGTGATTGCACCCGGAACACTGCATCTTTCCCTTCCACCCCAATCTTATACGAAAAGAATATCACACCGGCCAGAGAACCAACGCTCATCCCAACAATCAATCCAATGGCCACAATGATTTTCAGCTTCTTCAATACTGCCCTAGTGAAGAAAGAAGTAATGGGAAAGCGGCGAAAGCTCTGACTCCTAAAAGAACTAACTGTGCTCATAGTAGACTCTAAACCAGACGCCGAAAACATAAACCCCAATGCAAGAAGTCCCAGAGAGGCAATGCCCCCAAGATACTCATAAGTCATCACAAAAGCCCAAAAAGACACAAGCCATCTCAGCACTATGAAGAACCCAGTTCTCTGATGCCTAAAGCCAGTAACTTTTCTCCTCCTTAGCACAATCCTGGCCACCATCTCCTTAATCTCAACAAGGGTACCAACAAAGATCTTGAAAATGGCAACAGGGATAGCCAGAAAGGTCTCAGTGAGCCCCAATTTCAGAGGCTCAGACCAAAACCCAACAAGGGTCTGCTGGATTCCCCTCAAAGGGATTGAACACAGCACAGCCCAGAGAATTGGCCTCAAGTATTCTTCAAGTATTTTACACACACCATACAAAATGAAGATTGTGAGAGCAAGCCCAGCGTGTGCCATGGCTATGTAAATAGCAAGGCGTACCTGCGAGTCCCCAGACAAAGACTCCTGACGAGCTAAAGGGCTTTCTTGGCCAGTTTTCGGTTGTGGCTTCGGGTTCTGAGGCAATGGATCGTCGGGTTTTCTCATGGATGCAGATCGGAACATTTCGTCCCATGCTGGGAAAGAATTGGGGTTTGATTCAGACTCCTTTGTATCCGAATATGGTACCAGCTCCATTGACTCCCCCTCTCTCTCTCCTTGTTTCCCCCTTTTCCTGGGGGGAGGAGAAAGAGGAAGCAGAAGAAAAAGATCACCTCTTTATCCTTCTCTCTCAAAGCCCCACAAGGCGCTTTAATGTCAGTCAGGGTGACAAGTTCACTGACAACAAAGGGCTTTGCTGGGGTTTTTCCATTAAGGTTTAGATGACTGGTCGATGAAAAGAATGGAAATCAGAATTCACAGAAATGGAGTTTGGGTTCTGGCAATGGAATGCCCTAACATCAAATTGAGGTATTCTTGAATCTTGGCTAATCATTAATGGATATGTACAATAATATAGTAGAAGGGGACTAGGTTTCATCATTGGGAACCTTTCCATGTGTGAACATCGAAATTTCATTGGTGTTTGGGCTAATGACAGATATGACCTAGCCTTATTTTTGGGCAAATTATTTCAAGTAGGCTCTATTTGGCAAATCTAACTGAAAAGCTATAAGCTAGGAGCTGAAAGCTGAAAAGTTATAGGCTCTGTTTGGCAGAGCGTATTTACAGGGCGTTTGGTTGGAGTGAGGGAATTATGTGGGAAAGGAATTGTAATTCCATGGGAGATGAATTACTGGGAATAAAGTGAGAATTTAAATTCCAGTGTTTGGTTTGCAGGAATAGAATTACTGGGAATTTCAATTCCAATGTTTGGTATACATGGGAATTGAAAGGGAATAAGTAGTATAAAGTCAAAAATGTCCATTGTTGTTGTTAGGCATTAATTTTAGGTTAAAAAATGAAGAGGTAATTTTGACTCATCATTATCTTTTTTTCTTCTTAAAATCTCAGGAATTAAAATACCAGGGGGGACATGGGATTTTAATTCCATGAAAATTGGAGAATTGCAATTCCTTCTAACCAAACTACGGAATTTAATGGTCTTTGGAATTAGGTGGGAATTATGTGGGAAGGGAATTTAAAAATCCCTCCAACCAAACACCCTGTTATAGTTTATTTTAAGCTACTAATAAGCTATAAGCTCTGTTTGGTAATGTCCCCAAAATCTCCTAGCTTAAAATAAGAGCTTATTTTGGAACGATACCTTAGGTAGCGTTTCAAAATAAGCTTCTAGCTTCCTAACTTTTTTTCCATCTTTATCCTTATTATTATTTTAAAGAAATGACATAATTTATCCTTCCCAACTAAAATCCTTTTCCTTTCTCCTTTATCCGCAACTTTCACTGCAATTATTATTATTATTATTATTATTATTATTATTATTATTATTATTATTATTATTATTATTATTATTATTATATTTGAAACAATATTGCTACTTCATCTTATAATAATAAGTAGCAATATTGTTATAAATATTATAATAATAATAATAATAATAATAATAATAATAATAATAATAATAATAATAATAATTGCGGTGAAAGTTGCGTATAAAGGAGGAGAGAAAAATGTTTTAATTGGGAAGGGTAAATTATGTTATTTTTTTTTTAAAATAATAAGGATAAAGATGAAAAAAAAGTTAGGAAGCTAGAAGCTTATTTTGAAACACTACCTAATGTAGCGTTTCAAAATAAACTTTTATTTTAAGCTAGGAGCTTATTTTGGGAACATTACCAAACAGAGCTTATAGCTTATTAGTAGCTTAAAATAAGTTATAAGCTCCTAAATAAGCTCTGCCAAACAGAGCCGTATTTCAAATGTTCACAATTTACATTTTAAAAATTTACAATTTATATAATACGAACACACAATATTAACATATATGTAATCTGATTACATTATTTTATATTTACAAATTCATTTCAAATAGTGCAGTCACAAAATATTCACATATTAAGATTTGATGACTCAATATTCACAAATTTCATGTGTTTTGATTTAAAAACATAATTTATATTATAGAAGTTCATCATTTCAATACTAAAAATAAATAATTTATACATAGTTTAGGACTAATGTTCACCTGACAAGATGGACCTGATCCATGGTATACCATACGGAGTATCTATTTTTGGGTTAAGACCCTATTCCTATTTATAATTACATGTCAAATTGTTCTAGTTTTTAACAAAGAAAATTGTCATTGTATGTTTGTATTTTTAGCCTTTTAGGAGTGAAATATTTGTTTTAGGTTATCTTTATCCAGGCAATCACTTTTAAAATGTCATAGTATTAAATTTGTAATTATTCACTATTTACTCTTCATTCATAGAATTCTCTCTCATCTTTTAAAAGTGTATAATAATAAATTAGAATATAAGGCTAACTACATCAATAAGATTTTGGCAATTCCAATTTGCAAAGTCTTGTTGGCATTTTTTTTTTCCTTTATGTGTTGAAAGTCTGTGACATTGTTTTTTTTTTTTTTTTTTTTTTTTTTTTATTTTTAGTACTAGTGACCATGTTATATGTAGTATCTGTTCATATATATTTTCTCAACCTACTGAAAGTCTGACACGCTTAGAATTGCAAATATTGCAATTTTGGTGTCAGACTTGCAACACCAATACCGAACAACTTTTGCTTTATATATATATATATATATATATATATATATATATATATATATATATATATATATATATATATATATATATATATATATATATATATATATATATATATATATATATTTATTTATTTATTTATTTATTTTTTATTATTATTAATAATTTATTGATAAAAATATTTTTTATTAATGTGAATGTGTGAATGAATATATTATATTAATATAATATAAACTAAAAAAAGTTATTGTAAAATATAATAGTACATAAAATATTGCTCTATTAATAATTATTAAAGCACTTTGTAGTAGCATAATATCACACATTTTGTGTTTACATAAAAATAAGGTGTGAGTATACTATTCATGAGGACGTATGATTAGGTTTTGAAATATTAAGCTACTATTTTAATTTTATCATTTATATATTCTATAAAGCTTTTGATATATATGTGGCATGCGTGAGAGTTGTTGAAAATAAAAAAATAAATAAAAGGACTAAAATTTATTTATTTTTTACGTACTTCAACAAACTCAAATATGTTATGCTAGTTTTATTGCTTGAAAACATATCTATCATTTTCCTAAATTAAAAATCATTGTTGTTACAACTAGACACATGTCTAATCATAAATGTTTTGTTTAAATTAATAAGAAATTAAATGAGGTGACTTGATGCAAGATGGGTCAATTTGGGTAGAGATAAAATTCAAGATGGCAAGAAGCAAATATATGGATATTGTTTCACGTTGAATAATAACAAGTGGGAAACCAGCACATGGACAGCCGGTCATGGCTGCACCATGCCGATGTAGACTTGGAAAGAGGAAAGAGTGAGGAAACTTCACTACAATCCAATTTATAATTATGGTTTGGACTTTCAATTAATTTCTAAAGATTTTTTTTTTATTTATTTTACATGTGTAATGTGTTACATAAGACTCTAGGGCATAACACATTGAAAAGATAATGTGGTACAAGAAATTTATATATATATAGAGGGAGAAAGAGAGTTGCGTGCGGATATGCGAATTTCTGAAGGAATGTACTATATGTTCTACATGAATGCACATCATCGTAAGTACTATATGAATGCATATCGCCATAAGTACTACATGAATGCATATCGCCATAAGCACTACATGAATGCACAACCACCTAAGTACTACATGAATGCATTGTAACACGGTGCATTCGTGTAGTAATTTAGTGCATTCATGTAGTAGTCTCGGTGCATTATGTAATAGGTGTGGTGCATGTGTGTAGTAGTCACGGAGCTGGAATAGTTGTTGTTCATGCATTCCTTCAATTTGTAGGTTCGCATAGGAAGCCTGATTCACACCTGAGCGAACATACATACATACATACATACATACATACATATATATATATATATATATATATATATATATATATATATATATATATATATATATATATTTATATTTATACATTCAGGTAGGCCTGTGCATCGGACGGATCGGATCGGATCAGATGTGTATTTCGTTCATCCGATCGGATTTCGGATTGCATTTTAGAACTCCTTTTCGTTATTTTTTGTACCTAAAACCCTATCGGATATGCTAAATCGGATTTCGGATTATACGGATCGGATGTCGGACTTCATTCGGATTTCAAAAAGGTCATTAATAATTGAAATTTGAAAAACTGAAACAGAATAATATTAATATCTGATCTACCAAGTCTCTATTAACAAAATGAGTAATAACTAATAAGTAAACAAAATAAAACATGCAACAACTTAATAATTTTCAGAGCTAAATAATTTAAGTTTACAACAAAAATTGCAAAAAGTAAACAAAATTAATCTAAGTTTAAGTGTTTAACTTCCAAAACATCAAAAAAAAATGCAATATTCGAAGTTAATCACTTAAACTTCAGCAATCATTCCAATCAACATCTTTTCAGAAAAATCTGTTGACATCAATCACCATTTGAACACTTCTTCCTGTTAATATCAAAACTTAACACAATATTAGACAACATATTTAGTAAACTGTAAACAGCTAACTAAGTAACAATATTATGCTGTAGGGGCTTTAGGCTAATAGCCTTATAGGCTCAGATTGCAATTTTCCATTTTAAGTAAGGATAGTGGCAAATTGCTCAAATGTGTTATAATAGCACATGAGCAACATAGCAACACTATACCATTTGTTCAGACAATGGTGGAAGCATCATCATAGCCAAAAAAAAAAAAAAAAAAAAAAAAAAAAAAAAAAAAAAAGACAATAAGTAATAAATAATAATGCATTAAAACTGAACAGAGATCAATTCAGAGGATGAGAGGAATACCAGAGATCCAGAATGGATGTAATGGGACATCAGTACTCAATACTGCTCAACTCTAAGTGGGGCAACATTTCTATAATAGAATTATAGAAAGTTGCCAAGCCACTTAGACAATTAAGACTCTTAGAGTTTCATCTTGTGAAGGCCAACAGCAAACAACGGTACAACACTATAACAGATAAAGATAAATAATTAGTTAAACAAATAATAATTATTGAAAACATTACAGGAATGGATGGCAGCATTGATGGTAGAGTAGATGCAGCTCCAGTGGGTAACTCTGCAAAACAGTTAAGGATAAGTAATTAGTTCTTGACTTACAAGTTACAAAAGTAAAAAAGAAATGATTTATACAAATATTCTTACCTTTCTCCAATCTTTCAACCTCATCTAAATTTTCCTCAAGTGTGATTGACTGATTGTGTAACCTCAACCAATCTTGGGTACAAAGTAGGGCTTCCACAATTTTAAGAGTCAAGGAACTCCTAAATGCATCAAGCACCCTTCCACT